CCACGGTGTGTATCAGTGTGCAGGTGGCCGGCAGGTATGTCACAGTGTACAGGTGGCTTCCTGGAATGTAACAGTGTGCAAGTGGCTCCCATATATGTAACAGTGTGTAGGTGGCTCCCAGGTTTGTAACAGTGGGCAGGTGGCTCCCGGGTATGTAGCAATGTGCAGGTGGCTCCGAGGTATGTAACAGTGTATGTAGTATGTATGCACTGTGCCGGGGGCTCCCAGATATGTAACGGTGTGCAGGTGGCTCACAGGCATGTAACAATGTGCAGGTGGCTCCCAGGTATGTAACAATGTGCACGTGGCTCCCAGATATGTAACTTTGTGCAGGTGGCTCCGAGGTATGTAACACTGTGCAGGTGGCTCCCAGGTATGTTACAGTGTGCAGGTGGCTCCCAGGCATGTAACATTGTGCACGTGGGTCCCAGGTATGTAACAGTGTGCAGGTGGCTCCCAGGTACGTAACAGTGTGCAGGTGGCTGCTAGGTATGTAACATTGTGCAGGTGGGTTCCAGGTATCTAACAGTGTGCAGGTGACTCCCAGGGAAGTAACATTGTGCATGTGGGTCCCACGTATGTAACATGCTAGAAAGGACTGCCCTTCTAGCATCCAGCCTGTTACTGGGTTTTCGTAACAATTATTCAGTATCCTTGTCCAATTATCCATTAGAATTCAGTATGATTTAATAGTGCTTCAGGATTACAACTGGTAGGCTACTAACAAGAGAAATTAAAATTTAATAAATTTATTAAGTTGTCTTGGCGTATATCAAATTAAATTAAATTAAATTAATCACAGTAATCAAAATAATATTAATCACTTCTCTCGTGTACAGTATTATTGTGCTGAAAGCACATATCACATTTATAATTCTTAAGTGCCGTCTGGTACATTAACATTTAATAATCGATATACAAATAAGTGTGTGTATGTGTGTAAGTGCTCTAAGTAGTTCACTATGTCTCACGACTCGACTAGACTTAAACAAGTGACTGACAAAGTCCTCAAATAAACTAACTTCTTGATCAACTGGCAATCAGAACAGTCTGCTTGAACAACAAAAAGAATGCTAAGCCCAATAGCAATATAACATGCAACTGCGACACAGAATCAGGAACAAGAAGATAATATAACGACACTAAGTAGGGACCATCAGCAGATCCTCCACAAAAGTCACCAAACTCCCATAATACTGAATCTAAGTTCAGCATAAGAAAATACCCGACTGTGACAGTACACAGATACCAGTACAAGTTAGGTCAGAAGCTACAGCTCAGGACCTGAGTTGCTCAGAGTGTCTAAGCGACATACAACCTCAGTACAACGTCGAAAATCATTAAGTCTCGACAGTGTTCTGTGAACAGAGTTCTACAGAACATACAGCAATAATGAGACAAGAGACGATCTTCCAACAAGGGCCAATAAGGGAGATTTAGGCTCGTCTTGTCTAGAATACGTCCAATCACCAAGAGAGTCTAGACCAGACTGAATACTTCAGGCGAGGTGTGATCACCCCCCCCCTCGATCACGTGATAGCTCCGTGGACAGCTGCTGCCCAGCAACAGAAGCCGGCAGAGTAACGAGCAAAGAGTGATAATTACAGTAGTTAGACAATCAAGACTTGAACTTTGAGCACATAATATATGTATTACATCCTACCTAACAACATAACTAAGTCAAATAATAATATAAAGCAATATATTACGATTTAGCTATTATCGCATTAGAGGCAATATAAAATTATTCCTGGGAAAAGAGTAGATATACATATTTTATACACCTAAAATCTAGATATAGAATTATATACGAAAATCATCATACAAACATAAAATAAAATTGAAACCCAATGAAAACAGGGGTTCACACACGTTGGCTGTCACCCCTACTCAACCTGCCTGCACCGTACCACACCCCGGCTGTCACCGACAACCAAACATTGGGTAAGGGGATAATTGTTTGAAGCACAAACACATTTTGTCCCGGACGTTAAAGGGGGGGTCAAGGGAAAACTGAAAAAAAATTGGCATATAATAATATTGGATGTAGGGTTTAGAATCTGGCAGCAGAAAGTTATACCCCCGTCACCGTATATGGCTGTCACGTACTCCTCACACCACAGGATGGGTATGGTGTGACTGCCACCCACAAGATGCTAAGAGTGAGACTCCCCCCCACAGGAATGTGGTATAGGTGTGACTCCACCACAGGATGCTGGTATGGTGTGACTCCCACCCACAGGATGGGTATGGTGTGACTCCCACCCACAGGATGGGTATGGTGTGACTCCCACCCACAGGATGGGTATGGTGTGACTACCACCCACAGGATGGGTATGGTGTGACTCCCACCCACAGGATGGGTATGGTGTGACTACCACCCACAGGATGGGTATGGTGTGACTACCCACCCACAGGATGGGTATGGTGTTTACTACCACCCACAGGATGGGTATGGTGTGACTCCCACCCACAGGATGGGTATGGTGTGACTCCCACCCACAGGATGGGTATGGTGTGACTCCCACCCACAGGATGGGTATGGTGGACTCCCACCCACAGGATGGGTATGGTGTGACTCCCACCCACAGGATGGGTATGGTGTGACTCCCACCCACAGGATGGGTATGGTGTGACTCCCACCCACAGGATGGTATTGTGTGACTCCCACCCACAGGATGGGTATGGTGTGACTACCACCCACAGGATGGGTATGGTGTGACTACCACCCACAGGATGGGTATGGTGTGACTCCCACCCACAGGATGGGTATGGTGTGACTCCCACCCACAGGATGGGTATGGTGTGACTCCCACCCACAGGATGGGTATGGTGTGACTCCCACCCACAGGATGGGTATGGTGTGACTCCCACCCACAGGATGGGTATGGTGTGACTTCCCACCCACAGGATGGGTATGGTGTGACTCCCACCCACAGGATGGGTATGGGGTGACTCCACCCACAGGATGGGTTATGGTGTGACTACCACCCACAGGATGGGTAAGGTGTGACTCCACCCACAGGATGGGTATGGGGTGACTCCCACCCACAGGATGGGTATGGTGTGACCCCCACCCACAGGATGGGTATGGTGTGACTACCCCCCCACAGGATGGGTATGGTTGACTACCACCCACAGGATGGGTATGGTGTGACTACCACCCACAGGATGGGTATGGTGTGACTACCACCCACAGGATGGGTATGGTGTGACTACCAACCCACAGGATGGGTATGGTGTGACTACCACCCACAGGATGGGTATGGTGTGACTCCACCCACAGGATGGGTATGGTGTGACTCCACCCACAGGATGGGTATGGTGTGGACTCCCACCCACAGGAATGGGTATGGTGGACTCCACCCACAGGATGGGTATGGTATGACTACCACCCACAGGATGGGTATGGTGTGACTACCACCCACAGGATGGGTATGGTGTGACTACCACCCACAGGATGGGTATGGTGTGACTACCCACCCACAGGATGGGTATGGGAGACTACCCCCCCACAGGATGGGTATGGGGTGACTACCACCCACAGGATGGGTATGTGTGACTCCCACCCACAGGATGGGTATGGGTGTGACTACCACCCACAGGATGGTATAGGGTGACTACCACCCACAGGATGGGATGGTGTGACTACCCTCCACAGGATGATATGGTGTTACTACCACCCATAGGATGGGTATGGGGTGACTACCACCCACAGGATGGGTATGGTGATGACTACCACCCACAGGATGGGTATGGGGTGACTACCACCCCAGGATGGGTATGGGGTGACTAAACCACAGGATAGCTAAATGTGTAACTAACCCACATATTGGGTATTGTTGAACTTACCTACCTCAGTTAATTTGTGTAAGATTAATGATCTACCATCCCCAAGGTATTTTTGTAAAAATTAAAACCACTCAACAGATGGTAAGTTATGATATACCAAACCCACAATTGTTTGATATACTACACCACAGGATGGTTGTGTGACTACCACCCACAGGATGGATATGGTAGACTACCACCCACAGGATGGTTGGTGTGACTACCACCCACAGGATGGGTATGGGGAGACACCCCCACAGATGGGTATTGTGGTGACTACTCACCCACAGGATGTTCGTTGTACTACCACTCACAGGATGGGTAATGGGGTGACTACCGTCCAAAATGATGGGTAAGTGTGACATTTCCACCCAGATGGGCAAGTGGTTGACTACCTTCACAGGATATAATATGAGGGTGTTACACACCCACAGGAATGGGTATGGGTGCTACACCCAACAGGATGGGTATGGGATGACTACCCCCACAGGATGGTATGGGGACTACCACCCACAGGATGGGTATCGGGGTGCAATATAGAGAATTAAGCTAACTTGTAGCTATAGCACGTTAGAAATAGTATGCAAATTCGTCATAAGTTACTAATGCATGTTTAATTTTATTTAAAGATCTGAAGTGAATCAATCTGGGATTCGCAAGTGTGTTTGAAAACCCATTAAACCATTTTTTTTTTTTTAATACAAATCATAAATAGGTTACTTTGGGGCAGACTGACTAATTCTTTGATATCAAACAAAAGAATTCTCTTGTTGCTTAGTGGGACCAAATTCTAAAATTGTCGCAATTAAGTTTTAATCACTCGGGAAATTTTCGTTACAAATTATCACGAGGGAAGAACTGTGAATGAGGCGCTTCAGTTTTATTTGTGGAAAACACTATTTTAATTTTTTTTTTCCCGTTTTTTTATAATGAAAGCAAATGAGACTCACCAGACAAAATAAGAAAAAACTTTTTAATTTAAAAAAATTACCAGGGTTTTAAAGTTTAGTTAGTATACCGTAAAAGAAATTAATTTCCCCTTTAGGCTGCAATGAAAAACAGGTGAAAAAAAATTTAGGTTAGGAGGGGTTTAGAGATGGAAAGGGAAACAGCGTCAATTTTTAGTAGTGTCTACCCCCTGCTTCTGTATGGAACGTTAGTCAGTGGACAAACATGTTGTCCTTTCCCGGGCCCGATGTGTCGTATCTCACGTGCAGAACCTGCAAATCCCTGCTTTACAATTCGCCTTTTTAAAGGTCGGTACGACGCACCATCACGTACCTGCTACACAACATGCACGTAAACAAGGCGGCGAGTTTTCACCATTTCGAAGATAATAATTATGTTCATCACTCATATCAAACAAGTTTTAAAAAAAAATGAAAAGCTTGTTAATCAAATATGATCTGAAGTTCCGTGAAACAGGGATTTATTAACACACAGGAGCAAGACAGCAACATATTAAGAGCGATGGTCATCCTATTTTCGGAGCTGCTGCACACATACACTTCTCCGAGATCAGAAGACTCAACATCTTCCTTGTTGATGTATTCCTGACGAAATTTAACCCTTCGCTGGGGCACTTATTTACATTTTGTAAAGGGATGTATGGATGAGAACCTTTGCTATTGATATCACCCCTCACGTGAGGGGTGATATCAACAACTTACTCAAAAATTACATTTCAAAAAGGTATTTAATATAGAAAAAAGATTGTAGTAGTGGGAACCTATTTTTCTTTGGCTAGTGTTCATAATCTCCCGCTCTTCGTTTCAGTTTTAAACAATAATTTTAAATTCTATTGTTTAGAGAGAACAACTTCACCTCGTCTGATGGTATCTTGCGAGGAAACCCTCATGTGTCATTTTCTTTTACATAGAACTTAGTAAAATTCCTCAGAAAAATTAATAAGATAGCTTAGCATCATCTCGTGGATTACGGAATTCTGGCATATACGAAGAAACCATGTAAGCCAAAAAACCAGAGTGAGATTAACAAAAGTTGCTGAGTTTACCGTCACACTGTCAGGTGGGTCATTAGGTGGGTCGTCAGGTGGGTCATCAGGTGGGTCGTCAGGTGGGTCGTCAGGTGGGTCGTCAGATGGGTCATCAGGTGGGTCGTCAGGCGAGTCGTCAGGTGAGTCGTCAGGTGGGTAGTCAGGTAGGTCGTCAGGTGGGTCGTCAGGTGGGTCATCAGGAGCATGTACAAACCGTGTCAGCAAAATTTTCCCATATTTTCCATTGTATACTTAATGTGAAATTATTAAAATATTCAGTTCTTTCACAGATGCTCAAGAAATTTTCAAACATTTCATTTAAAATAACATAAAGTTGGTAGTGCACTCAACTCACACACTGTGTCCGTGGTTCGAGCCCCAGTATGGGTGCAAACAGTGGGCTTGTTTCCTTAAGACATCTACTGCCCCTGTTCACCTTGCAGTAAGTAGGTACTTGGGTGTTAGTCGACTGGTGTGTGCCCCATCCTGGGGGCACAAATGCTCTGCATAACCAGGGGCTTTCTATATAGTATGTCACTGATGTCAGTTATGGTCTGTATAAGTTGTATCATATACTTGTAGAATGAAGATATTATTATTATTATTATTATTATTATTATTATTATTATTATTATTATTATTATTATTATTATTATTATTATATTTATCATATTTTTATTATTATTTGTGAAAAAAAAATTCCCAAATTTATAGTGTATAAATTTCTATAGTGAAAATAAGTGTAAATTGTATTGCTGTTGGTTTAAAATTAATTTACGAGTGAAAAAGGAAACTAGCAGACGAGAGAGAAGGGCGGAGGGAGAGACGCCATTATGGAAATGTGGTGAAAGGTGTTCCCAGTAATCGGCTAATGGTATCAGTCTTCATCCAGGATAAATTGGAGTGAAACGGCCTCGGATGACCAGAAAACAAAATGCGGTGACGCTCTACACTGCGGACGGGGAAGAAAATATTGGTGAAACCACTGAAATATAGTGGATAAATAGTGAAATACTGCAAGACACCGGTGGCTTCCTTCAACACGCCTTTTGATAAGTAATGTTCATCTTTTGTACAGTAAATTGCTTTGGCCATCGTATTTCTTACTGACTAGGTAACGTTAGGATGTGTTCTACCGGTGGTCCAGATTGGTTAGTTAATAACAGGAATTTTGTATGTTCACCATAGAACTGAAATTAACTGTATCAAACCCTCCCACAATTTTCAGTTAGTCACAAGAAAAAAAAACATACAGTCCACACCCAAATAATTTTTGCCAGAACTACTGGTTGCTTAAATGTAATTAACTAATTTTAGGTCCCTCTCTTGTGAGAGTGGTTGGAGGGTTGTGGACGTCGAGGGAGGCAGTTTCCTGCAACCTAAAGTGTCTTAAGTCCCACTTACCTCAGAGGTGCAACAAAAAGTGGTAAGTAATGGTTACCTTAGTTGTATCCTGAACCCATATTACCTATACGTAAATGAATTTCGCAAAGGTAATTTCTCACATTATTATTATTATTATTATTATTATTATTATTATTATTATTATTATTATTATTATTATTATTATTATTATTATTTATTACCTGCGATCATAAAAAAATTTTCACTTATTCCCTAGTAAAAGTAATTCATTACCCTGTTAGTATTCCTGTGTTCGTGTGGTATGTATAGTATGTATGGCGACCTCACTCACATTCTCAAATCGAATTTCTTGCCACCAATTAGGAGAGGGTTCTCAATATAGCGAGAAATAACGTAAGTGTCCTTGACCAGCGCTGGGTTAAACGAACTCTTGGTGTCCCGCGACCACTTCTTAATCTGAGCCAATTTGTTTACCAGGAAGATGCCTGCACAAAAAAAAGAAAGATTAAATATGTCATCATGAAGTTACTCAAATGTATACATATGTTAAACCTAAAGTCTACGAATGAAAAGCAATGCAACGTTATTAAGTAATCCTTCCCCTCCATCGTTGCTCCTCACACAATAATCACTACCTCTATTTCACAGTTTATTTTTATATACCAAAATACATCTACACTACTATCCAGCATCACAATCAGTGCAACAATCACTTTTCCTTATATTCTCAGCCACCATCAGTTATAATCGCAACCACCACCACTAATGCCCATCTGTTACCACCGCTATTACTATTCCCACTTAATCCATTGTACCCTGATACAGAAACCCTTAGTCACTGTCTTCTCCACAACTACAACTATGTGTTCCACAAGTCTCATAACTAGTAACTCACCAACGCCCTGGGAACGGCTGGCTGGCTTAAGAATCCAGGTGGTGTTTGGGTTCCGTCGAAACTCCTCCACGAAGAGGTTGTAATCCGCTGGCAGCATAAACGTCGTCGGAAGGAAATCCAGATGAATGTACCTTCCTAGTGGATGGAAACGTTAGTTTACATCTTCCTAGTGGATGGAAACGTTAGTTTACATCTTCCTAGTGAACGAAAACGTTACTTTACATACTCCTAGTGAATGGAAACCTTAGTTTACTTCTTCCTAATGGGTGGAAAAATAAGTTTACACCTTCCTAGTGATTGAAAACGTTAGTTTACATCTTCCTAGTGGGAGGAAACATTAGTTTACATCTTCCTAGTGGGTGGAAACGTTAGTTTATATCTTACTACTGGGTATAAACGTTAGTTTACATCTTCCTAGTAAGTGGAAACGTTAGTTTACCTCTTCCTAGTGGATGGAAACGTTAGTTTACAGCTTCCTAATTTACACCTTCCTAGTGGATGGAAACGTTAGTTTACATCTTCCAAGTAGGTGGAAAGTTAGTTTACATCTTCCTAGTGGGCGGAAAGTTAGTTTACATCTTACTAGTAGGTGAAAACGTTAGTTTACCTCTTTGTAGTGTGTGAAAATGTTAGTTTACATATTCCTAGTGAATGGAAACGTTAGTTTACATCTCCCAAGTGGGTGGGAACGTTAGTTTACATCTTCCTAGTGAATGGAAACGTTAGTTTGCATCTTCCTTGTGGATGGAAACGTTAGTTTACATCTTCCTAGTATGTGGAAACTTTAGTTTACACATTCCTAGTGCATGGAAACGTTAGTTTACATCTTCCTAGTATGTGGAAACTTTAGTTTACACATTCCTAGTGCATGGAAACGTTAGTTTACATCTTCCTAGTATGTGGAAACTTTAGTTTACACATTCCTAGTGCATGGAAACGTTAGTTTACATCTTCCTAGTGGGTGGAAAGTTAGTTTACATTTTCCTAGTGGGTAGAAAGTTAATTAACGTCTTACTAGTGGGAAGAAATGTTAGTATACCTCTTCCTAGTGGGTGAAAACGTTAGTTTACATCTTCCTAGTCAATCAATCAATCAATCAATCAATCAAGTATATTCTCTATAAGGATTACAATGCGGGGTTTACAGATTTTGAATATTGTGTGGTTTACATGTTTTAAAATATTAATTACAGAGGGGGCCACTAGGACACCTAGCATGGCTAGGCATTTCAGGCAGACTTAGATTAATTCTAAACTTTAAATTATTACAGATTAGGGTATTCAAGTTAAGTGACTACATTATAGTTTGTGAGTTTAGCAATGTGAATGCTTTTGTTTTGGCACAATACATAGTGTCTATGTTGGAGTATCATAGGCAATCTTATGATTAAGATTAAGATTCGTATTTCTGTGTTTATAGTCAATGGGTGAGTGAGTGTAAGTGTAAACCACCAGGTGGTTTACATGTATTTAGTTGTCGGGGTGTATCAGGGAGATAAGATGTTTTCTAACTGTAGTTTCGAAAGTGATGAATGTGTGTGCTGTTCTGGAGTTTTCAGGTAGGGTGTTCCAGATTTTAGGCCCTTTGACACACATTGATTTTTTGTAAAGGTTTAGTCGGGCACAGAGAATGTCATAGAGATGTTTGTATCTGGTGTTATGCCTGTGGGTCCTGTCACAACTATCAAGAAAGCGCTTTAGGTCAAGGTTAATATTGGAATTTAAGGTCCTGTAGATGTAGATTGCACAGTAGTAAGTGTGAATGTACTGAACAGGGAATAAGTTTAGATCTATGAAGAGTGGGGGGCTGGGGGTGTTGCCAGGGATGGGATTTAGTGATTATTCTTACTGCAGCTTTTTGTTGGGTTATTATTGGCTTTAGATGTGTTGCTGCAGTTGATCCCCAAGCACAGATAGCATAGGTGAGGTATGGATAAATGAGTGAATGGTATAGTGTGAGAAGGGCAGTTTGCGGCACGTAATATCGTATCTTGGAGAGGATCCCCACCGTTTTGGATACTTTTTTTTGTTATGTGTTGGATATGGGTGCTGAAATTTAGGTTGTTGTCGAGGTATAGACCTAGGAATTTGCCCTCATTATGTCTGGCAATTAGAGTGTTGTCGATCTTAATTTTAAGAACATAAGAACATAAGAACATAAGAAAGGAGGAACACTGCAGGAGGCCTGCTGACCCATACTAGGCAGGTCCTTTACAATTCATCCCACTAACAAAACATTTGCCCAACCCAATTTTCAATGCCACCCAAGAAATAAGCTCTGATGTGAAAGTCCCACTCAAATCCAACCCCTCCCACTCATGTACTTATCCAACCTAGATTTGAAACTACCCAAAGTCCCAGCCTCAATAACCCAACTAGGTAGACTGTTTCACTCATCAACTACCCTATTTCCAAACCAATACTTTCCTATGTCCTTTCTAAATCTAAACTTATCTAATTTAAATCCATTACTGCGGGTTCTCTCTTGGAGAGACATCCTCAAGACCTTATTAATATCCCCTTTATTAATACCTATCTTCCACTTATACACTTCGATCAGGTCTCCCCTCATTCTTCGTCTAACAAGTGAATGTAACTTAAGAGTCTTCAATCTTTCTTCATAAGGAAGATTTCTAGTGCTATGTATTAATTTAGTCATCCTACGCTGAATGTTTTCTAACGAATTTATGTCCATTTTGTAATACGGAGACCAGAACTGAGCTGCATAATCTAGGTGAGGCCTTACTAATGATGTATAAAGCTGCAGTATGACCTCTGGACTTCTGTTGCTTACACTTCTTGATATAAATCCCAGTAATCTATTTGCCTTATTACGTACGCTTAGGCATTGCTGTCTTGGTTTAAGGTGGCTGCTCACCATAACCGCCAAGTCCTTTTCGCAATCTGTATGGCTAAGTTCTACATCATTTAACTTATAAGTACTAGGGTTATGGGCACTCCCAAGCTTCAGAACCTTGCATTTATCTACATTGAACTGCATCTGCCACTTTTCTGACCAAGAATAGAGTTTGTTTAAATCCTCCTGAAGTTCCATAGCATCTACGTTTGAATCAATTATCCTACCTATTTTTGTGTCATCGGCGAATTTGCTCATATCACTAGTAATTCCCTCATCAAGATCATTGATATATATTATAAACAACAACGGGCCCAAGACTGATCCCTGTGGAACGCCACTTGTTACAGATCCCCACTCGGATTTAACCCCATTTATGGACACTCTCTGCTTCCTGTCAGTGAGCCATGACTCGATCCACGAGAGCACTTTTCCCCCAATGCCATGAGCTGCCACTTTCTTTAACAGTCTATGGTGCGGAACTCTATCAAAAGCCTTACTAAAATCTAAGTAAATAATATCAAATTCTTTATTGTGGTCAACAGCCTCAAAAGCTTTACTGAAGAAAGTTAATAAATTAGTTAGACAAGACCGGCCTCTTGTGAATCCATGCTGAGTATCATTAATCAAGCTATTCTTATCGAGATGGCTTCTTATAATCTCAGCTATAATTGACTCTAGCAATTTGCCTACAATTGAGGTCAGGCTTATTGGGCGGTAATTAATTGATTTGTGGTCGCTAGCACCCAGTTCCTCTGAAATTTCTAAATTATTAACAAGGGATTCATTGTTTGCCATACCTAAGTCAAGCAGGTTATTTCCCCTTGTAGGTTCTGTCACAAACTGCTTCAAAAAACAATCCTCAAATACTTCTAAGAAGTCGTATGATTCTAAATTCCCAGTCAAGAAATTCCAATCAACATGACTAAAGTTAAAGTCTCCTAGAATTACTACATTATCGTGCCTTGTGGCCTTAACAATTTCCTCCCATAGTAGTTTCCCTTGGTCCCTATCTAAGTTTGGGGGACGGTATATCACTCCTAAAATCAGTTTTTCATGCCCCTCTGAAAATTCTATCCAAACAGACTCTGTATGTGTTACTTCAGACTTAATACCCGTTTTTATGCAACAGTTCAAGCGATCTCGGACATACAATGCCACCCCACCCCCCTCCCAATACTTCTATCTTCTTGGAACAATTTAAAACCCTGAATATGACATTCCGCAGGCATGTCCCGACTTTTTGAATTAAACCACGTCTCAGTTAAGGCAAATACATCAATGTTACCTACACTAGCAACTAATCTCAACTCGTCCATCTTATTCCTAGCACTACGGCAATTAGCATAATAAACATTGAAAGACTCTCCTTTCTCTTTACCCTTCCTGCTCATTTCTATTTTTCTACTAAACCTATTACTGCCCTTATCACCCAAGGTCCCTGGCTTTTCAATATCTATCTCGTTCTTATTATTACTAGTTCCCCTAGAACTCGTAATATTACTACACTGGGACTTCACTGTTTTCCTGCCAAAACCCATACCACTGACTATTCCTAGTTTAAAGTCCTAACTGCTCCCTCCACTGCAGTTGCCAGTGCTCCCACCCCACACCTAGATAAGTGAACCCCATCCCTAGCATACATGTCATTTCTGCCATAGAAGAGGTCCCAGTTGTCAATGAATGTTACCGCATTTTCCTTACAGTATTTGTCCAGCCAGGAATTGACACCAATTGCCCTGGACAACCATTCATTTCCAACTCCCCTCCTTGGCAAAATACCACATATGAGAGGGTTCCCACCCTTACTCCTAATTATTTCTATTGCTGACCTATACCTGCTAATCAGGTCTCACTCCTACGTCTGCCAACATCGTTGCCTCCAGCACTGAGACGGATAATAGGATTACTCCCATTACCTCTCATGATGTCATCCAGACGGCTAACAATATCCTCCATCCCAGCCCCAGGAAAGCAAACTCTCTGTCTCCTACTCCTGTCCTTCAAGCAGAATGCCCTATCCATATACCTAACTTGGCTATCCCCAACAACAACAATATTCTTACCTTCCTTAATGTCTTTCGTCGTGTCGTTCCCAGTAGTCGACTCACATTCGTCGGGTAGCACTGAGAATGTATTGGATGTTACCACAACAGTTTCCACGGCAGTCTCTTTCTTCTTCATCGTTTCTACCTTTCCATTCGTCTTCTTGATCGTCAACTTCTTTCCCTGCTGTCCAGCCACTGACCAGTTTCCCTTCTTGACCTGAGGACTCAAAA